GAAAGTCCGAGATCACTGCTCCCTATCTGATCTGTGAGTCTCATTCAACCTGACAGTCATCGACATAACAGCTATACTGGGAACATTGCTCTGAATGGGCAGTCATAGCCAACATACACCAAGTCAGATATGCTTGAGGAAGGCAGATACAGCATCAATGCAGACTTTGCTTTAGTCTTTACCAAAATTTAGAAATAAATGAGGCCTCTGGGTGGCTCAGTTGGTTAAGCGTCCAACTTCGGCTCAGGTCATGATCTCGTGGTTTGTGAGTTAGAGCCCCATGTTGGGCTCTGTGCTAACAGCTCAGAGCCTGGAGCCTGCTTCAGATTCTGTGTCTCCTTCTCTCTCTCTGCCCTTCCCCCACTTGTGCTCTGTCTCTCTTTCACAAAAATAAACATCAAAAAAAATTTTTTTAAATAAAAAGCCACCATTTTTGAGAGGTTACCATGCAGCAAGCCTGTGCTAACTTAGGTATACCAGAGTTCCCAGTCTTGAGAGATCATTCTCCTTTTAATATCCAAGTACAAGCAGTGTAAATCCCCCCTCCCCATGATAGCAAGAAGTCCAGGCTTTCAGCAGGCTCCCTCACTAAGTGTTTTGTCTCATTTCTACCATGGTTGCTATCGTCCCCTCAGGCAGGGTGACTCCAAGATGCGTCCCTCACATGGGGCCTTCTTGGTCCCCTCTCTACCAAGTATGTTTACAGTCAAGCGAATATGTAATGATTAACAATGGTTTAATGGTTTATTGAAGGCTTGTGGATGATAGGAGGAATTAAAGAGAAGTAAAAATCATTCCTAAACCTGGTCTCATTCACTCATTCATTTATTCCCTCAACTACATGCCAAGCACTGTCTAGAACTAGAGAGACAACAGTTAACAATGCAGCTTTCAAGTGGCTACAGTTGGTAGACTTCTGGGCAACAAAGTTCTGAGCCTTCCTCAGACCCATTGTATCTCTCTTCTTGGCCCTGAGTTTGCAGCCCAGCCACAAGGACCACCTCGTCTCCCTCAAGGGGCACACCCAGGAACTCTGGCTAAAGTGCCAGCCCCAGCCCACGAAGAACAGTGACTTCTTTTTAGCTAGCATGGTAGCTAAGTCTTACCTAAAATAACAACATTAACAGATAATGGTTATTGAGTGTTTATTAGCAGTCATGAGTCTCAACACATTAACTCATTTAATGCTCACAACTCTAGGAGAAAGATGATATTATTAATTTGCATTTTTACCCATTAGAAAAACAAGACACAGAAACTTAAGTAACTTGCCCAAGGTCACAGCATTGCTAAGGAACAGAGCCAGGATTATGAGCCCAGGCAGCCCGGCCCCAGAGTTCATGCTGTTAATCACTATACAATATCACTTTCCAAAAATACACATCTGCCCCAAAGAGGAACTTTCCAACAGGCTTCAATCCCATACTCACCTCTAGGAATTTATTCTACAGATATACCTATGCTTAGAGATATGTCTGGAAATGTTCATTGCAGCAGTGTTTGGAACCACAAAATTAATTGTTAATCAGTGGAAGACAAGTTAATACATATTTTAAAAATGCAGACAATTGAAAACTATGCAACTATTAAAAAGAAGGATGTAGAGACTTCATTTTTAATATGGTATGCTAATTAAGTACATGGATTTATATTCTTCCCTTCCTAAGAAATCATTAAGATACTAGTAATGGAATTTTTTTAAAGACTTGAATTTACAATACCAAAGAGAATAGGAAGAAAGCTGTTAACATACAGGAAAATGCAACAAATTCCTATAAAACAAAAGTCAGATGAAATATTAATTAATGAAAAGAAAACTCAAAAAACAGAAAGCCAGCATGCTGAGCATAACCACATGGAACCTCTTGTCTTGGGCAACAGGTACAATGGAACTTAAGAGAAGGTCTGGGGCACCTGGGTGGCTCAGTTGGTTAAGCATCCAACTTCAGTTCAGGTCATGATCTCACAGGTTATGAGTTTGAGCCCTGCATCGGGCTGGGCTCTGTGCTGACAGCTCGGAGCCTGGAGCCTGCTTCAGATTCTGTGTCTCCCTCTCTCTCTCTGCCCTTCTCCTGCTTACTCTCTCTCTCTCTCTCTCTCTCTCTCTCTCTCTCTCTCTCTCTGTTTCTCTCTCAAAAATGAATAAACATTAAAAATTCTTTTAAAAAAGAGAAGGTCTGAAAATGTGAGCTTAATTGAAGGTCTGCCTCTGAAAGTCAAATTTTTCTATACCTTCCTATACCTGCAAAGAGGCTACAAAATGAGTAAGAGAATGAATAAATGAGTGAATGAATAAATTAAATCAAATAAATAAATAAGTGTGAATAAATAAAATAAAGTTAAGGTATGGGGGTCAGGGTTTTATTTAAATTTGTCTTCAAAAGAAGGTTTTTTTCTAATCAGTTCTTATCTACGGTTCTTATCCATTTGATGAATTGTCTAGTGAACTAACAAGGCCAGCTAGTGTGGATGCCAATGTCCAAGAATAAAGGCCCTCTGCTGCTTTATTTCGGCCCCAATATAGTAGCTGAGAGTTCTCTGCCTATCCATTTATTAAAAAAAATTTTCTTAACGTTTACTTATTTTTGAGGCAGAGAGAGACAGAGCATGAACGGGGGAGGGTCAGAGAGAGGGAGACACAGAATCTGAAACAGGCTCCAGGCTCTGAGCTGTCAGCACAGAGCCTGATGCGGGGCTCAAACTCACGGACCGCGAGATTGTGACCTGTGTCGAAGTCGGACGCTTAACCGACTGAGCCACTCAGGCACCCCATCTGCCTATCCATTTAAAGTGAACTCATTAGTTACCGAGTCTCGTCAACATTCACAGAGCTCCCGATCCTCAAACTGTTCCCTCATGTGAAAATACAAACAGATCATAAGACATCACAAGACATTTGAGAACTGCCAACATCAAGGGCAACAAGCAAGGCAGAAGAAAAGATCCTAGCAAGGAAGAATGAGGGAATGGCAGCGGGATAGGCAGCAGTATCTGCCATTTAAAGTGTGGTTCGCGTATGCAGTCAACACCTAGCAGCTGAGCTCTGAGTGACGGGAGGAGAGCAAGGAGGGGAGAGTCTTTGCAACTTGATCCCAGGAACATGCCCTTCAGGTGCCGCACAAGTCATGACAGGGGTCCTAGAAAACGTGAAAACGTTAATTTGCGCTGCCATAAAAACTGTATACATAGCTATAATAAAATAAATACTATTCCCATTCTTTTTTTCAACTTTCAAAAATTAATACACAGACCAAGAGTTGCGTACTGGTGATGCTCAAGCAAAATTAGGCCTAAAAATTAGCAAAATTGGCTAATGACATTTAAAAAAATTTATTCCACCACTGTTAGAGCACAGAAACCTCCACTCTCTGTATCTTTCACTGAGTCAGTTCACAAGTTTATGTAAATGGAACACTACAGACATTAGAGCTTGTGGTCTACGGTGGGTATTTGCCCAGCATCCTTTCCCCCTTTCTTTTGGTAACAGCACTCTGATTTCCTTTTGGGGAACTCCTCCTGTCCTTTGGATAGAGCTTTAGGCCTGGCTCTAGCGGTGGGAGGTAGGTGACCAACATCCCCCAAGCCCCTGATCACAGTGATGGGTTCGAGGATATACAGGAGAACATATTGTTCCAATCAGAATAAATCCCCAAATTTGACTTGGAAGAAACTTCCTCTTCTTTCCAGTGGATTAACTCAATTTCAACTTGAGAAAGTAGAAGACTGGAGCAGCTGCCAACATCTTGTCTCTTTGAGGGGAGACAAGCAGGGTAGAATCAGCACAAAGCAGGATTTAAGAGATGGAGAGAAAGAAACTGGGTCCTGAAAATACTTTTGAATGAAGCTTTGCATAGTCTTCATTTCCCCCTGGATTTCCTTTCCTGTTTCATTTGCGTAAGTTGAGTTTTCTGTCACTTGCTGCTAAAGAGTCCTATTCAATAAATGGCCCACAAGTACCAGCAAATCACAGAAGACTTCATTATGATTACAGAATAGGATAAAAACATTATCAACTTGACAATGGCAAAATAAAGGGAGAGCTGGGAGATTTTAGGAAATGAACAAGTTGTAAGGTGGTGATGTAGTTGGAGAAAAAGATAGGTTTGCTAATATTGTTATATTTCAAAGTCAGAAGGACTCCTATGGTTGATGCAAAGAGGAATGGACTTGGGGAGCCTGGGTGGCCTGGTCATTTGGGCTTCTGGCTCTTGTCTTTGGCACAGGTCATGACCTCGAGGTACATAAGATCGAGCCCCACATTGGGCTCTGCACTGAGCGTGGAGCCTACTTGGGATTCTCTCTCTCTCTCCCTCTGCACCTCTTCCACTCATTCTCTCTCTCTCTCTCTTTCAAAATAAATAAATAAACATTAAAAAAAAAAAGAGGAATGGAGTTACATGTCATGTCTAAAGCTGCAGAGGTGACCAGAAGGAGAATTTAAATAGAGATGGAACCATATCAGGAAGATATAGGGCGGAGTAACCAACTAAATCCTCACCTGCCCTATTAGCAAATCAATGGTAATGTCTAGAATTGGTAAATAAAGACAAAACCATATTAGCGGGATAGATGGTCATCTATCAGAGCAGAATGTCAATAGATAATATTTCAGGTCAATAAGTTAAGAAACAGAAGTATAAACCTTTATAATATGGTTCCATGCATCAGAAAACCAAAGACAGAAACAGATAAAAATCGGTTGCCTTTAAGGGAACAGGGATAGAGGTGAGGATGTGAGGCAGATGATTCTCTTCCATTATAAGTCTTTATGTATGGTTTATACTTAAATCATATGTGAGTTTTCCAATACATTTTTTAAAAGAAAGGAATGTGGCTAATTTACATATGACAATATGGAAAATCTCCAAGATTTATTTTGAATGATAAAAGCAAATTGAAAAACAAGTTATATTGTATGTTCCAAATTGTGTTAAATATGTGCACACATCTATAAATATGCCTGTATAAATATATACATATATGTGTTTATACTTATATAGAAAATTTATGGAAGTATGCCCAAGAAGTATCTGTCTCTGGAGAGAGAGCACTAAACATCTGGACTGGGAAGAAGACACTTTTCATGGTATGTCCTGTTGTTTGACTTTTTTGTAACCATATGCAAATATTAATCTTTCCATTTAAAATAAAAAGCTAGCATAGAAACATTCCAAAGTAACATGGTGCCAACATAATTATTTCTAGGGTCACAGATATAAGTCAAAGGTTTGGCCCGAACGATCTGTCCAAAGAGAAGACTAACAAGGCTGATCTAAGACCTAAGAGCGAATGAAGTCATTTGGTGCCATTGTCAGAATGCCTTAAGAATATTAGTCATGGTCCATATAGAACTCAGAGGTGAAACACTAAGAGTAGGAATCATTTATTCAAAAGATATCTGCTGTGAACCCATGACACTGAAGATTCTGAGGTAGGGGCTGCTATGGGGATATGAGCAAACAAGACAGAATTCTTGCTTTCTTAGAGTTCAGAGACCAGTAGGGCATATGAGCAAGTATGCTAAGTACAATAAGGGAAAGCTGCTGGCCTCCAGAAATGAAATAGCTTGCGTGGGGAAGGATGGCTGCTCTTACAGCCCATGTCCTTGTCTGCTGACATTCACTTTCCCCTTGGGGATCCCACTCATCCCTGTCCTGCCACAACAACCTTGGGAGGCACTGCCCTCCCCTTTATACATCAGCCCCAGAGAAGCCACACCTGTCCCCTCTCCTCCACAGTCCAGCCAAGTCGACTGGGTGAAGGGATGCCCAGAGAGCCGGTGAAACAATATTTCTGGCTGTGTCTCTGAGGGTGTCTCTGGAAGAGGTTGGTTAGCATCTGAAGTGGGAACTAAGACCACCCTCCTCAAAATGGGTGGCCAATCCACCAGGGCCAAAATAGCACAAACAGGCAGAGGAAGGGTGAATTTGCTCTCAATGCTTGAGGTGAGACTACCACCTTCACCGGCCCTTAGGTATCCATGCTCCCGGTTCTTGGCTTTGAGATTTAGCTGGGGTTTATACTTTAGCTCCCAGATTCTTGGGCCTTGGGACGAAGACTGAATTACACCACCCGCTTCCCCAGTTCTCCACCTTGCAAACAACAGATCTGTGGGAGCCAATTCCTATAATAAATCTCCTACTATGCCTATCTATCTGATTTTGTCTATCCCATTGGACAGGACGCTTCTCTGATGAGTCCTAATATAGTGGCATTTAAGCAGACTTTATTGATTACAAAAGAGAATTGCTCCTCTTAAAAACCTGGGTTTGTTTTTTGTTTTTTGTTATTGGTTTTGTTTTGTGTTTTGTTTTGTTTTGTTTTGTTTTGTTTTGTTTTGTTTTACTGGCTGCATAGGTAACATCATTGTCAGTGCCCCAAAGCCCTAACTGATCCCTACCGTGTCCCCCAGCGCTTCCTCACTGCCTCTTTACTGTCCAGTCTCCAACTAGTAATGACCATCTCACCTCCCACCCCCCTTGCCCATCTAGACCACATTAGAAACTAGGATCAAGAGACAAGACCGTGAGAGAAAGGAGCTCTCTCTCCTTTGACAACTGCCTTTCTAGGCTCATCCTGTCCCAGTGTGATTGATGCTGGGAACATCCCCTGCCCTGAGGGGAAGACTTCCCTCGCCCCCAGGCCAGAGCCCATATCCCAGCAAGACAATCACAACAAAATTCAGGGATCCAGTATCAACCCCTGAAAGTAGTAGAAGGGGTCAACCTTTTTCTAAGTGTTAAGGAAGGAGGGTGATCTAAGCAAGAGAGGAGTGGAAGATGCAGGAAACCAGTCTAAGACCCACAAACGTAGTCATGGTTCTAGAGCAGGCCAATAACAGTGTCATTGTTTGATTTCACACACCCCCCTCATATTTATTTTAAGATCAAAATGAATTTAAAATGAGGTTACGCTTCCTTGTTGTCATTAAAAATTTCTCAAACATTTCTGAGACTGTTGAAAATGCCCTAATTGTTGCAAAACTAGATTTGACTGTCACAGGATGTGCCTCAAACTAAGACTGGCCCTCCCTCACATTTCCAGAATTGTTTTTACCCCTCTTTTTAATCCTCACACAGAAATCCCAGCTGATTACAAAGTAACCTTCCTTAGAGAGCATAAGCAAAAGCTTTTCTGCGTCCACTCAGAAGCACAGGTGAAATTTGATGGGCTGATGTGTCAGACTGAAAAAAGCAGACATTCTCTGTTCAATGCCCAGCAAATCTCTAAGCATCAGGATTATATTTATATCATGATAGCTTCTTCCAGTACATCTGAGGTAATACTGATCTCTCAGGTTCCTACTTAGCTTCCTTCAATGGGCCCCTAATCTTTGCATGGATTCAGAGATTCCCCAGATGGGCTCATTTCCCAGCCCGGTTCACCATTCTTCCTGGTCCACAGCCTGCAACTCAGGGGTGTTTTCGGCACCCCCAGGGGGCAGCCACAAGAACGGACAGCAGGTACTGAGGGCAGTGCTGGTGAGTGAATCAAGGCAGACAGAAATGTATTCTTCTATAGTCCATCTCACTATACGGTCATTAGGATGTCTTATCCATAGAGAGTGGCTAGATAACTATAAAGTTTTGCTCCACGCAGTTTCAGAGTAAAAAGGCTTCTTTCCTAAACCACATGTGTTATGTTCTTTCTCAGTAGCTGCGCCTAGACAATGGTTCATCCCGTGCTCACATCCCTCCTTACTTAAAACTTACAGCCCCTTGTAATTCCCCTCCCCTGAGGGGGCAGGTGTGGTAACCATACCCGTTTTCCTGCATGGCGCATACCCCAGGCAGGTGGTGACAAAGGAATGAGGAGGGCAGATGCCCTGGTAGTTTGACTACAGACTAAAAATCTTTACACTGTACCACACACACAAAAAAAAGATTGTAAAGCATCATTTATGATCTCATTTATTAAAGAGACACTGAATTTGAAATTAAAGTGGGGCTCCGAGGCGGCTGACTTGGTTAAGTGTCTGACTCTGGATTTTGGCTCAGGTCATGATCTCACAGTTCCTGAGATCGAGGCTGATTCTGGCTCTGCACGGTCAGTGCAGATTCTCTCCCTTCCTCTCTCTCTGTGCCTCCCCTGCTCGCATGTGCTCTTTAAACAAACATTTTTTTAAAAAAGGAAATTAAAAGTGGCTATGTTTCCTGATATGGTTCAAAGCTTTGGTCCAAGTTATAAACAACTAAAGAAGAGTAAAATAACAGTAAAAGAATTTAACAGTAAAACAATGTCTTAGCTCTGACTGCTATAACAAAATACCCTGACTGTGGCTTCAACAGCAGGCATTTATTGTCTCACAGTTCTGGAGGCAGGGAAGTCCAAGATCAAGGTGCCAGTCGATTGGGTTTTTAGCTTGCAGAAGGCTGGCTGCCTTCTCACTATGTCCTCACCTAGGACATAGCAGAGAGAGAGAGAGAGAGAGAGAGAGAAAGCTGGAACAAGCGAGATCTGGCCTCTCTTCCTATTTTTTCAAGGACACTAATCTCATCAAGACCTCACCTAAACCTAAATACTTCCCAAAGGCTTCACCTCCAATACCATCAGATTGCAGTTCAGGGCTTTGGGAGGACACAAACATTCAGTCCATTACAGTAATTTTTTTTTAAGTTTATTTATTTATTTAGTGAGAATGCAAGCAAGCAGGGTAGGGGCAGAGGGAAAGGGAGAGAGAATCCCAAGCAGGATTCACACTGTCAGCGCAGAGGCCCATGTAGGTCTCGAACTCATGAACTGTGAGATGTTGACCTGAGCCGAAATCAAGAGGCGGGCACTCAACTCACTGAGCCACCCAGGCACCCTCCATAACAATAATTTAAAGGGTCTAAAGCCATAAGGACAAAAAGGACAGAAAAGGAGAACAGAAAATTAGAGATATTAGAGGAAACTGGAAGGGGAGTGATAATTGTCTGAGCTGACACAGAAACCCACACGTTAAGGGATACAGGATGGTCAACCAGCTAATCTCCATTAAGCCGTTATCCACCTCTCCTCTACCACACTTCCCAACCCTCTCAAAGGCTTAGAAACCGGGGGCACAAAACAATCTGGAGGTTAGGAGTGGGGGATTATTTGGAAATTTGTTAAAGAGCACTTAGACACCATGTCCTTTCTCTAGTCCAGGCAGCCACGTTGTTGCTCTCCCCCCACCTCCCTGTGACCACCCCCAGGGAAGACTAACTTACTTTCTGGAGGAATTGAATCAGAATGTTTGTGGAGTTGAGTCTAGGGAAAGAGGAAGGTGTGGAAATGAAGAGGGAAGACAGAAAAAAATGAGATCAACCCATAAAGTTCAGTATCTGGTGAATAGAAATTCCAGAAAGAGAGAACACTGAAAATAATGGATAAGAAATTACCAGAAAGAAGGGAAGAATAAAAGGAGGGAAGAAAAAAGAAAAAATGAATTACTATCAGCCTGTCATTGTCTTTCTCCAACTCATTGATTTTCTCTAGCATTAGCTATCTAATTCAGTATTCCTTATCATTAATAATGCCCACTTTTCAAATTGCCTAAAACAGGCGCCTGAGTGGCGCAGTCGGTTAAGCGTCCGACTTCAGCCAGGTCACGATCTCGCGGTCCGTGAGTTCGAGCCCCGCGTCAGGCTCTGGGCTGATGGCTCAGAGCCTGGAGCCTGTTTCCGATTCTGTGTCTCCCTCTCTCTCTGCCCCTCCCCCGTTCATGCTCTGTCTCTCTCTGTCCCAAAAATAAAATAAAAAACGTTGAAAAAAAAATTAAAAAAAAAAAACAAATTGCCTAAAACATTGCACTCATACCTCCCTCCAGTGCCGTCCCATCACTAGCTCTGATCCCTATTCCAGGCTAGTAAAAAGTTTAGCAATGGTAATACTGCTGCACACCAGGGGTTATCACCACTCCACCATCACCAATTATGCAGCTATTGCCCGATGGCTGGTAGGTGACCCGCCATCAAAATTCAATTCCAGAGTCTGTTTCCTGAACTACTGGGTTCCTTGGCAAGCCGACTCTGAGCTGGAGTTTGATGTGTGGAAAGCTTATCAAGGAATGCTCTTGGGATTGATTCCTCCTGGGAATAGGTGATCCCCCTGTGTGACCAGCTACTGAATCCAGGCTGCTCCCAGAAAGGGGGCAGGGCTTTGGACAGGGCAGCTCTTTGGCAGAGGGCACTTCCGGGAAAGGGACTCATCTGAGAACTGTAAGCCACCAGCACTCCTGACGTGGGGGGGATGAGTGCCTCGGTCCTGAAGGTGGTAGCACATAACATTATTCATACGCACTCCCAACAGCTCTTGGAACAGTTAGAGAACAATTTGAGGGAGGGGAGAAGGTTGGGGTTGCTATATAATGGGTGGTAGGGGTACAGAGAAATATTATTATGTGGATACTATTGTTACCCTATTCTTAGAGCCCAAGAAATAAAGATTACATGTGGCTTGTTATTCACCCCTATGTCGCACAAAAACTCCGAGACTGATAGTTGAGAGAAAATAGAAAGCGTAAAATCTTCTATCTCTCAGGCTCAACGTTTACATTTGGCTCCATAAGAAACAAGCACTTGATTGTACAGAAAGACACATCTCACATTAAATTACACTGGTTCTGTTTCTGGTGCACTCTGGTCTCACCGATATTATACTTAGTAATAACGCTCTATAAATGTAATGAAGGATGACCTTAGCTTGAGCTGCAGCTTAGACTAACATCTTTCAGATCTCTGGTCATCAACACGTGAAACTTTCTGCCTCCTACCCTATAAACTTGGACACAGTTGTGAATTCAAAATGTCCTATAAACCCCTCCCTGGGACCAGATGCCTGATGAATTGAAAACCAATGGGAACAAGCATTTAGACTCATGCTGGAATGTAGAGCAAGAATCAGGGCTTGGAAGTTCCCTACCGGTAAATACCATAAAATGTTGACAATTTCATTTGTGTGTGTGTCAGGGTTGGGAGGGGTGTTGCTATAAAATTGAAATAACATTTTTACTCTTCTTATTGTTGCCGACTTATTTCTTAAGAGAGTGGAAACTGAAATTTTAACTTTCAGAAAGTTCAGTGGTGTATAGAGTACTTAAGTAATGACAACCTTAGCTTGAAATTTACTTCTAAATTACATGCCTGCCTCCAACATGGCTTCATAGGAAATAAGCAAGTCATATTCACATGAGAGATATAAGGAAGACACTCCCAAGTGTATAGAAAGGCCTCAGAGAGGCAAACGAGTGACACGTTAGGACTGAGGGAAAGTTAAAGCTCAGGCAAGGCCTGTAAAATGAAGGGGAGCAATGAATTAATTGGATGAGGCTACACTACTTTGCAGAAATGTATAAACTTTAAAAAATCAAGAGTTTAATCCAATAAAGGTTGCTTTCTCTTTCTTGCCACAGTCCAATGCAACTCTTCTGGACAGCTCTTCTCCAAGTGAGGACTCAATGACACCGGTTTGTCTCCATCTTGTAATTGCACCATCTGGAATATTCCAAGATGGTGGCCAATGGTTTTCCATTTGTCAAAACTCATAGAACTATATTTGAAAAGAAGAAATTTTATTGCATGTAAATTATACCTTAATAAACCTGCATTAAAATAATAAGATATTGGTATCTCAGGGAATCTTCAAGAAAGCCAGAAAATCATATTTTAAGCCTATGCAGGTAGAAATAATGCTAAAATGGGACCCCTGAGTGGCTCAGTCTGTTGAGCATCTGACTTAGGCTCAGGTTATGATCTCACAGTTTGTGGGTTCAAGCCATGCGTGGGGCTCTGTGCCGACAGCTCCTTCTCTCTCAAAAATAAATAAACATTAAAAAAAAAAAAAAAGAATGCTAACATGGCATCCACATCCCATGGACATACTACCACACCCAGCCTGAGTAAAGGCACTCTAGCCCGCACCATTAACAGTGGCCTCCACCGCCCCTGTGGCTCTCTGGCTATTATACCTGTAATCTTGTATTTTATTTATTCATATCCTCTTTCATTCTTAATTAGTTTTGCCAGAGTTCCTTCCATCTTATTAATCTATTCAAATAATTCATTTTTTGTTTCATTTATGTTCTCTTTTATTGTTGATTTTGCCCTTACCTCTATGAGATAAGGGCTTTGCTTTTTCCCAACCCTTCTTTAGCCCCTTTTTTTCAACCTTTTTAAAATTTTCTTTTTTTTTAATTTTTTTTAAACATTTATTCATTTTTGAGAGACAGAGAGACAGAGCACAAGCGGGACAGGGACAGAGAGAGAGGGAGACACAGAATCGGAAGCAGGCTCCAGGCTCTGAGCTGTCAGCACAGAGCCCGATGCGGGGCTGGAACCCATGAACTGCAAGATTGTGAACCGAGCCGAAGTCGGGCGTTCAACCAACTGAGCCACCCAGGCGCCCCTAAAATTTTCTTATAAGAACATTTAAAGGCACAATTTCTCTTTCTGTGTGCTATACAATTTCGCAGCCACTCTCCACATGTAGCTATTTAACTTTAAGTTCATTAAAATTAAAACTAGTTTAAAATTTCAATTTCTTTGTCACACTAACCACATTTCAAATACTGGAGAGTGACATGGAGTTAGTAGCTGCCATATTGAACAGAGCACATATGGAACATTTCCATCATCACAGAATCGAACAGCACTACTCTATTGTTTTAGATGCAGCCAAAAATTTTTTGACGTACAGTTTTTTCAGTATTTAATAATTTCCTAGACATGGGGTGTTTGTTTTAAATATCTGTTTATTACTAATTTCTAATGGGTTTTTTTCGTAATAATCAGAGCACAAGATTTATATGATATTGGTTCTTTGGAATCTATTGAAGTTTCATTTTAGGTCTAGTATGTGTTTGCTTTGTATCTACTCTGTGTACTTGGGAAAGGAGTGTATTCTCTGCTTGGTGTCAAGTTTCCTGGTTTTTTCTTTTTTAATGTTTATTTTCATTTTTGAGAGAGAGAGAGCTCATGAACAGGCGAGATACGGGGGGGGGGGGGGGGGGGCAGAGGATCCAAAGCAGGCTCACAGTGACAGCAGAGTCCGATGTGGGGCTCAAACTCCCCAACTGTGAGATTACAACCTGAGCTGAAGTCAGACGCTCAACCCACTGAACCACCCGGGCGCCCCTGCTTGGTGTCGAGCTTTAATTCTGGGTCTATGTTAGGCTGAATAATGGCCACAAAGATATCCATGTCCTCTCCCCAGAGCCTGTGACTATTACCTTATATGGCAAAAAGGGACTTGGCTGATGTGATTAAGGACCTTGACATGGGGAAGTTATCCCGGACTGTTTGGGTGGGCCCTACATGCAATCACAAGTGTCCTTCTGAGAGAGAGTCCCAGGGAGATATGAGTACAGAAGAGGGGGATGGCATGTGACAATGGAAGCAGAGGCTGGAGGATACACGGGGCAAATACTCCCCCTCAAGAATCTAAAGGGAAGAAGATTGAAGACATCTTGGCTTCAACTTCCTAAAACTCATTTTAGACTTGCGGCCTCTAGAACTACAAGAGAGTAAGTCTGTGTTGTTGCTTTTGTTTTCAATTTGTTTATTTTTGAGAGAGAGAGCAGGGGCAGGGAGTGGGGGTGGGGGGCAGTGAGAGAGGGAGACAGAGAATCCCAAACAGGCTCTGGGCTGACATCAGCAAACCCGACGTGGGGCTCAAACTCATGAACTGTGAGATCAGGACCTAAGCCAAAGTCAGATGCTCAACTAACTGAGGGACCCAGGTGCCCCAAAGTCTGTGTTATTTTATACTAGGTCTGTAGTAATTGTAATACCACCTAATAGTTCAAGTTTCTTAATTTCATTATTCTGATCTGTATCTTTCCTTGCTTTTAGTCTGCTTGTTTTATCAATTTCTTTTAATGATATTAAATCATATTTATCATATTTATATTTACATATCATATTTATAAATCATATAAATCATATTTATCAATATCTTTTAATGATATTAAAACTTTTAATTACATGTGTTGACTTAAATATTTCTCCCTATGTGTACTATCTCCCCCAAGTGTACTATCACTTGCATTTTATACTTTTAGGGTATTTTTTAGGTGTCTATATGTTCATGACAATTATATCTTCTTGCTCTGTTTGTTCCTTTTGTCAGGATATAACATCCCTGTTTGTTCCTTAATATGTTTCTTGTTTATTGTACTATTTTATCGGATATTAAAATCACTTCTCATGTTAAAAGTATGATGCCTTTGGCTACCTTCACTAGAATAAATTTGAGGTGGCATCTAATTCCTTACCCCACCTCCTCCCAATTCAATCTCAATATATAAATTCAGTATATAATATTATATTGAATACACACAGAGAAATAAATGTATATATGTGTGTTTATATTAACCCATGTGTGTATATAGTATACATTAGTATAAATACATACATTTCTTAGCTCTGCCAGGAGAGGACCTAGAAGCAGTGACACCTGGTGGCAGTGTGCACACCTGATTCCAACATCCTGGTTTCCAAATACCCATTCTCCAATGAAAGGAAACAGGGCTTTTAGAGTGATCAGGACAAATAAAATAATCTGATTAGTTTCAAGTACCTTATGATGCCAGAAAGTACAGATGTACTTAAAAAATGGTGGCATGTTAGAGTCTCCTGGGTGACTCAGTCGGTTACGCAGCTGGCTTCGGCTCAGGTCATATTATCACGGTTCATGAGTTTGAGCCCTGCATCGGGCTCTCTGCTGTCAGCGCAGAGCCTGCTTTGGATCCTCTGTCTGCCTCTCTCTCTGCCCCTCTCCGCATGCTCTCTCTCTCAAAAATAAACACACATTAAAAAAAAATTTTTTAATGGTGACATGTTAAAAGGACACAAAATTTAACCTGAAAGAACTTCCAATGCCTAAAGCTGGAACAAACTAATCAACAAAATAAATAACAATAATATTGGCTTATAAGCCAAAGAACAGAATTAATATGCCTGAGAGCATATGATATAAATAAGTAATTGAGTAAATAAGTTGGGGATAAGGGATAACTCTTCCTTTCAGAAAATATAAATTAATAAAGATAGAAATGAGGGAAATAGAAAATCACTGCAGGAATACCAGTGGACTCCGAATTACTCTTCAGTAAAGGACCATAATTCTCCAAAGGGAGGGATTGTCCACCACAACGTTTACATTTCCCTAAGGCAATAAATTTGGGTATTATGTCGTTCAAGGTCTTAGCAGGCAACAGATGGAACACCCAAAATCTTGCATTAAAAGAGTTAATGAGGGACTATGTACAGGGATTTGGGCAAGTCTAAAGGAACCACTAAGGAGAGGCATCCCAAGCCATGAGTCTGAAAAGTCAAGAGGAGGGTACCACAGACCCACAGAGGGATGGAACCCCAGATGCAGGGTTGCCTGCCAGGAGCTGTCGTTGTGGGGAAATGAACCCCCTGCCAAAACTGCAGCGATACAAACAGGGCATGGGGAAAACAAATACCCAACCTCTCCCTCTCCCGCCTTCTGATCTCCCCTGGTGCTTCTTCCCATTGACCAAACCCAACCCAAAGCCAAAATACAGAAATTTACAGAGCTCAGCCTCCTGGAACCCACAATAGAGCAAGAAGCATAGAGAATTATACCAGGGAACAAATGGAGAGTATGTTTACATGAGTCAGGAAAAAAAATCACAAATTTTAATTTCATTTCTATGTTTTGTGGGTTGAATTGTGTCCTCCAAAAAGATATGTTGAAGGCCTAACTCCCAGTACCTCAGAAAGCAACCTTATTTGGAAATGAGGTTACTGCAGATGTAATTAGTGAAGATGAGGTCATACTGGAGTAGAGTTGTCCCTTAATCCGATATGACCTGTGTCTGTAAAAAGGAAAAAGAGAAGAGACACAGACACACAGGGGAAATGTCATGTGACCAGAGAGGTAGAGATAGCAATGTGTCTACAAACCAAGGAACACCAAGGATTGCCAGAAAATGCCAGAAGCTAGGAGAGGCAAGGAAGGATTCTCCCCCAAAACTTTTCAGAGGGAGCATGGCCCTGCCAACACCTTGATTTTGGACTTCAGCCTCCAGTACTGTGAGACAACACACTTCTGTTGTATTTAAACTTCAAGTTTGTAGCACTTTGCAATGGCAGCCCTAGAAAACAAATACAACATGTTTATGTCAATTGCAAGGGAGATCATGAATTTTAATTTCCACCACACAGAAAACTTTTGATTTATTGAAACCCACAACTTTCCCGACAGTCTTTGTATTGCACTTTTGGATCACAATATTTGAAAAAAATAAACAAATGATTTCAAGGATTCCTTTTTAAACCATATCATCTCCTAGGTCTTGGATGTACATCATCAATGCTATACAATGAGCATCGATGCTGACATAGACTCTTACAGAATCCTTTGCTTCAAAGAGCAAACTGTCATTCATGTACTTCATTTACAGAAAATGGGCTGATAACACATTGAAAATTTCAACAACTAAAACAAAAATTTTTTCAACAACTGATCAGATCATAATAAAATGCCTTTTTACATTTACCCATAAATAACCAGTAAATTAAAATTTTTTAAACAACTTGCAAGCAGAAGTTAATAAAATTTAATATATCACAGTTATCCTCACCCTT